ATATATATATGAATACTTCAATGAGGAAGTGAATGTTACAAAAAACGCTGCCTCTGCATGCTTTTCGCACCACTTGGAGCATGGATGGATCTCTACTGGCTTTATGTGTGGGAAAAACATCTATCCAACTCAAACAACTCCTAGTCAGGGTAGTTAAGCCTATTTATTGGTAGCTAATCCCCCCATCATGATTGAATTTATATTCTAAATGGTATTTCATATGGTATAATCACAGTATATGCTATGAATTGCAGCTCAATACCGATCAAACCTATGTTGTTTTTGGGGTAATAGTGAATAGTCACTGCTTGCAGGATCATCCCACCTAGCAACTTGTTAATAACCATATAGTTATAACCCAGTTATATGGCTGGCATAGCTTACTAACTAGGGTTATTCACCACTCACTAAGCGGTATGATCCTCTAAGTGGTTCCTCATTATGAAACAATCCGTGGTGAACCCCTGTTACCCTCTGGCAACCTAACATAACTATGGAAAATCACCATTTTTAATGGGAAAATCCACTATAAATGGTGATTTTCAATAGCTATGTTAAATTACCAGAGGGTATTCCTTGGTCCATGACTGTCCGATCGTCCGATCGTCACCTGAGAAAAAACTGACGTGTGGCCTGCCACTTCTCGTAAACGACCAGCCTGGAGCCACAACCACTTGTGATAGCCATCTGGACGTGTCTGAAAAATCGCATTTTTCTTGGCAATTCTCATGAATGATGATTCACTAGTGGAGTCAGGCATGATTTAAGGCATAATTGCATATAATTAGCCTATTTTCGAACACATCCATATCTAGCAGTTATCCAGCTGCTTCTACCTTGAATGACTACTAGATTTAAGAACTGGAATGTACTGTAAACCCACCGCCACGTCCATGATTCTCTCAAGTACAACAGGCCATGGATTTTTTTGGGCGTTTCTGGCTTGGTATGTGGGTAGAAAGCTAACTCGAAAAGGTCTCCCCTGAGTTGAACCTCTTTCTGTCTGGTGGTTAGTTTCAACCCTTTCCAAAAGCGCTGCGAAAATCAAATCAGCATATATATTATATATATATACATATTATATATATAATATTATATATACTATATATTATATATACTATTATATATAATATATAATATATATATATAATATAATATATATATATAATATATATATTATATGTGTCTTACACTAAATAAACATCCTAATCATCGCAAGTAGGATGGCACACTTAAGCCAAAGTTGAAACTACCACCAACCATATCCCCCCCACCGGTTCCCCGCCGGGGCCCATTCCCCTGAGCTCCGAACACGTCGGGTGGACAGCTGCAGGGTGGCACGTAGAGCTGGAGTCAGGGCAGCTGCTCCTAGCTCGGCCTGGTCAACAGGGCTGCAGGGGTTGGTACCTACTCACCCAAATAAAAAGGGGATAAAAATCTGCAAAATTATCTGGAACACATCAGTATGATATCTGTAAAATTGATGTACAATATCTGTAAACAGATACTTTTGTCAGTGAAAAACGCAAAAACTCCAAAACCGGACATTGACCAAGCCCTGCAACACTGCGTTTTCACCCTGAAATGACGTCTGACTCTGATCTAAAAAGGCAGCCAGAAACCCACCTCTGCAGCAGACACTTCAATGATGCGCTGGGCCTGCCAGATTTTTTAGCTTCCCGGGACAACCAAAAATGAGCTGGAGCAATTGGCGCTTCAGTTTAGGTGAAATGTTATGTGTATATATCATATACATACATATGTATATGTATATATAATCATAATAATTATATATACACATGATCTGCTTGGCCACCTCATAGATTTTTCTGCAGACTTTTGGACCAAGATTAGGAACAACACCTGTCGATTGGATACATGTCTCGGGCAAACGGATGATTTCCCAGGATAAAGCCCATCACTGATCAGTGAATATGAGGATCCAGCAAAATCTAGGGCTGGGCCAAGGTCGGAACAGGTACCCCTCAGTAATTTAACATAGCTATTGAAAATGACCCATGAACATAGTTGATTTTGCCATTGAAGTAGTGATTTTCTATAGCTATGTTAGTTTACCAGAGGGTACAACTAACATCCCCCCAGGAGGCCCAGGCCCTGGGGTCAGCTGGACGAAGGTCGGAGATTGGCCTCAGCATCTTCCAGATCTTCAGGGGGATGTTATCCTTGTATTCCCAACGTTCACATAAACATTCCCCCAGAAACCATGGGTCAGTAGGAATTCTCAGGATGGGATTTTCAGCCACCCCCACCCATATGGATCCATGACTGGGCCTCCAAAATGAACAGATCCCATACATTCTACCAGGGTTTCGTTTGGGTGTATTTCATCTTAGGGTGATGGGATTGTCTCACCCGCACAACTGGAGGATTTTCAGTAAAATCTGGGTATGGAAGCAACATGAACTAACAAACAAGAGGGTTGTTACGTGGTTTCACAGCTCCAAAAATTCACGGGGCAACAAATGGGATCTGAGAACGAGGGGAAGATCCAATGACAAACAGTGGGATGCAATCCACAACACAAGCTCTGCGGGATTTTGCCAACGGTAACGCAGTTTTATTCGATGATACTGGGATGGAACCAGTCAATGAAAATGACAAACAACACACACTTCACAGTGTACCAACATAATTGTGTGTTTTGAACCATCATCCGCTCTATTAAATGCAAAACCACATGAACCATTTACGATTGGGGTTAGTTACCCCTGTCTAACCATCATTCCAGTGACGTCGTGTTGAAGTCGTGATAAATGTTATATAAATTCTCCAGATTCCCCACTTCACTACGATTATCTACGATTTATGTTGGTTCAATCACCACTTTTTTTGGGAAAAAAAACGATTTATCCATTGTCATGCTGCCATGAAATTCGGACTCCAGCGGTGCAGCCCAGTGACAGATCATAGCCAGCACACAGCTCGCAACTCCCAAGCCTTGAAAGATTGATGGTTGGCCAATCAGACAGATCAATTAGCCTCCGGTGTCATCAAACATGGCAGTTTTCTGTTTTGTGTTTTCCTCCTTACACGGCCAGTCTTATGTTTTTGTAGGATTTTGTAGGCACATATACTGGAAGTTCTGAAGCAGAAACTCTGACACATCGATCCTGCGAGGATCCTTTCGTGAAACCTGCGAACCTCTCCTGCGGGTGAGCTCGTTTGAGCATACAATGATCTCTAAACTCCATAGTAACCCCAAAGGAGATGGACAAGTCATATGCAACTATAGGAAGTATCTGCGACCCAAATCTCCAAAGCAACGCCAACCTGAACACCTTATCCGTGTTATCCGTGTTCTGTCAACCTCACACTTAATGATCCAATATGATCCAATCATATTCCAGATGCAACCGGATCATGGTGGATGACCATCGAAAGATGACGGATGATTTGCCAAGAATTGCATGAAGGGAACATATGACATATGCAGAAACTCCCAGAAATATGAAGGTAAAAATCCGAAGAAAAAGGTCCCTCACCTCAGCAGGGCCATTGCATCCAAGGTACTCTCTCACCTCCTCCACACCTGCAAAAAAACAACAACTGACCAGACCCTGAGTCAAAATTGGCGGTTGAGTCTGCCAAAGAGATATGATAAGAAATTGATTCTAAAGATATGACATGAAAAAGAAACCCAAGATAACTTGGTATTACTTGATAATACTTGCTAATCCTTGGTATCTGATTATCTCAGGACAACAAGTTCACAACTTCACCATCCGCCTGTGGACCTGCATGAGCCGCTGTCCTTTTTGTCAGGTCATCCAGCCATCAAAAACGAGCCGCCGAGTGTTTGTGTCTTTGTGGCTTGGATAATTCATCTAATGTGGTTAAAACAATCATAAACCATCCCCCAAATCACCATAAATAGATGGTATAAACATGTATAATCCATTCCGAAATGAGTGGTTTATTATTGGTTTACCTACATTAGATCATACTTTCAAAATTTTTCGCTACTTTCCAGACTTTCCAGGCCAATCCAGGCACGAGAACGAGCTCAACTCTTCGCTCTTAGATCTCTTATATGGTCCTCCATGGCGGGAGATCGACCCGATCGTGGACTCATCCCGAGAAGGAATTCAGCATCGTTGTGAGGTATCCTCTCTTCCCATAGCAGTACCGTTGACCATAGATGACCATAGCATCCTTCGTCTTTCATTTGCAACATGATTGTCATAGCCACTTGTTCCATCCACCATGTCCGTCACCTTCACCAGATCGTCGACACAATAAAACCAGCCAGCAATGCCCCATGAATCTAAATTCTGGCACCATCTCTGACAAGAAGTTGCAGTGCTTGTCTTCACGAAACTTCTCGTTTGGGATTGGCTTGTTGACACAGTTCCGTCATGCCTACACCCGGTGTAAGCATGCCTGTGTCAAAAAGCCACTGCCCACTGCTCGTCAGGACTTCTGAATTGAAGTTGAACTGCCCTCCATTCTCAGGACATCCTTCAATTGAAGATATGTTCCAAAGCTTCAACCAGTCAGAGGTCTTTGAACGAACGACCTAAACAGCCTCTGGCAGTGCCTCTAGAGGAGCGACATCTGCACTGCGCAGAAGGACCAGGCCATCCGCAGAACTGGTCATGGCAAGTCATGGCAATAAAAGGACCCACACCTGGGCGGGCTTTTTCTTAATAACTTAAACTATTCAAAGACAACTCCGAAATGATGTGCATGAAGAACACATGACTGCCGTGAAAAGCAACGATTGAGACGGAAACGCTGCGCATCGTTTTTTTCTGATGTCGATTGGGCTCAACCCCGCGGCACAGCACTCGCCTGTGGCTTGAGCTCGGACGCCATAAATGATGAAGCGTAAACGATGGCTGGTCGGAGGTTCCGGTGTCTCAGACAATGCCAGGGACCTCAGTGTGAAACGGGAATTTCCGGGGGGGTCGAAGTTCCAACTAAGGCAACTGTGGAAGATGATGGGAACATGAAACACTGTGTAGTAGATCATCCTACTACTACAGTTTTTCACAGTTTTTCTTTGCATCTCAGGTCAGACATTGTAAATAACTGGCAGTGTGTCAAAAGCTTGTACCCCTGGTGGACATCAAAATAGCTGGTAAATGGATGTTCATCCCATTAAAAATGGTATCTATAGGTATTGACCCATACCCAACTATTGGAAGTTCCAAGTCTCTTGTTCATTGGCGAAAATCAATCACTTTTATGTTTCGTTTCGCGTCATTTTTGGAAACAAGAAAAACCTGACGCGAAAAATCTAACCGGGCACGCTAGCATAGGGATCACACCAATAGCATTGGACACACATTGGCAAAAATGAATCCTTTGGTGGTTACAGTAATTCCCCATTTCTGATTACAACTCAAGCTCGTGTGACTGGATTGGTTTAATTAAGGGAACATCTACAGAAAAACCATACGTTTTAATTCCACAGACAGTAGTTTTCTGCAATTCTTCCCTTCAGCCAATCCAAAAATGGGTTTCAATCACTTGAACAAATCGATGATCTCCCCATTCTTTGCCCATGTAGATGTCATGTTTCCCATGGTTTCTGGGATTCTTCACATTTTTCCCCAACCATTGCTCTTCGCTCTGCACTTAGCTCGCAGCAACTCTCTGGACGTCAAGCCGTCCGGGCCGTCCTGGCGAAGTATCTGAATTGGAATGGAAGATGAATGGTTAATAGTCATCTGGATCAATACCTATAAATATTGAAATACCTATTTATAATCGGATATCCCACCAATACCTATTAATGGGATTATCATATCAATACCTATTGATAAATAACATTTTTAGGGGGGCTGAAAATCATTGAACATCCATAAATCCCAGCTATGATAGTAATGATATTGAAAGGTGTGTCCTTAATGGAGACGACGGGACACAATGATAGTTAGATTTTCGGATTCCGATTTACGAGTATGTATCATTATGTCATATATCTAGCTATGAAAATGGCTAGAACATTTCACGGATGACATCTTGACTCATACATTTTCCATGGGATAGCCTCCGGTCATTTATGGAATATAGATAGGATATACAAATTTGTGGTGATATAATGATAATGATGATATGTTAAAAGGATATCATGACCATCGGGATACATATCACCGCAAGCATTATCCACTGGCGCTTTCAACCAATTGCCAAAATATATGTATTTGTCATTGGGGATCATCATCGTCATCAGCAAGGCAGAGTGAAGCAGAGTGAGGATGTTGATGGATGCTGCGTGATGAGACAAATGCCTAGCAGCTGGTGGTTTGTTGAGCCAGAGGATTCTTCCTCTACAATGGAGGCTCAGGATTCCAAGGATTCCAAATGGCCCATTTGAAATACTTGAAACCAAGCAAATGAGTATTGAAGAATGAAATGCTGATCCTACTTCGTCTTACTCATTTCCTTCAGGTCCTTTACATGTTTTGGGATTAAGATATTCTAAGATATACAACCACTCCACAGCAGTGGAGATAAATATCCCATCCATTACGGTGGTTTTTGACACAAACATATTCAGCAACATTCGTGACGAGGTCATCTACTGAGTTGTATACCCACTTGAACAGTTAACACATATTGGCTATGTTGTGTTACCAACCAAGAACGGCCATACAACACATCATGTGTTGTACGGCCGTTCTTGGTGGGGGCATCAATTTCCCTGGCCAATTACACCAAAAAACAACGAACATGGATGTGTTGGTCAAAGCCTATTTGCAGATTCAAGTTCGTTGACATCTTGAGGTTATAGTTATATTTAATTATATTTATATATCCCACCAGAAATTCCCAGACACCTAACCCCACACCATATCAATACTGAGGGCCCGGCGATTGCGAAGATCACACGCCACTTGGGCTGCATTTCCTCAATGGCCAGCTTGGAGGTCTCATCCTATTGAACTGTGGCTAAAAAAATCACCAAGACCCAGTTGCTTCAACTTCAACCCCCCGAATTTTCCTTTAATTTCAAGAGCGAGTTGCTTCAAAATCCTGAAATTCAATCCGAATTTCGATTTTCATCTACCATTAAGAGCACATTCCAAACACAAAAAAAACATATTTATCCATATTTCATCTCTCCAAATTTCATCTCATGTCCATGAATGTTCGGTGCAGTTGCCAGGGGCTCCAGGCCATCGTGCTGGGCTTCGAGAGGCACATTAAGCCCATTCTCCAAGGGACCCGCCTGGCGAAATGGCGAAATTTCATAGAGGAAATATGGGGAAATGAGCTTTTGAACCATTTTTGAAGCGCCAGAAATTGGGGGAAAATCCATGGCTATCCACTTTTTAGACACCGCCACATCGTTTTTCGAGGAACCATACTGTAGTTTCACCAAGACTTCATAGTACTGTGCTGTGGCGGCAATGGGGCTGAACACAATTCTTCGATGGGAAAAATGCATGTGGTCTTGTCAAAAGTGTGTGTTCAAACTACCAAAGAACCAAGATTTGCATGTTTCCTGACACTAATGTCTATGAAACTTATCTATTCTGACCGAATCAAAGGAAGTCCCACTGGCTACAGTGCAATCATATATGAATCACATACCAATGATATATGATGCAATATGTTTCATATATAGTGTCATATATAGAAAACATATCCTAGCTATATATATATATATATCTATATGTATGTTTACGTGGACGGCTTCGCCAACAAAGCGTCGGCCTCGATTTGAGGTCCCTTCCGCAGAAGGAGACGCCCAGCTGAAACTGCGTGTAGCCTTTGCGGAGCTCCTGGAGATCTGGCGTGTGAATGGTGGTAAAGCAACACATGAGAAGAAACAACTTGGAGGTTTCCAGTCATGGGGGGTACCCCCAAATCATCCAGTCGTCATGGCCATGACTTAGTTTTTTTCAAGCTATGAGGTTCAGCAAGGGGGATCCACCATGACTTAACTTACTGAGTTAATGATCCCAAAGACATATTTCATGACATCTTGTTGAATGATGTTGGAATGCTTGGAACTTGAACCCCCCAAAAAGTACTCTACTTATCGTCCAAGGCTATGCAAAGCTCATCCTAAGTCATAGGGCGGTGGTGATCCCCGCTTGGCACGATGTCGTGATCGTGATCGCAAGCGAATGCAGAACGGCCCAGGCCCAAACCACAACAAAGAGATGATCTAAGCAGTTATAGTTGATTTAAACCACGACAGTTTGATCTATGTTTGGGAAACCATCATTTATAGATGATCTGAGCAATGATTAAACCCATCTATAAATGGATCATAATGGATCTATAGGACTGGGGCATCAACTTCGCTGGGATTCTGTGAATTTCAGGTCTGTGTTGAAGCCAAGTGGGATGAAGAAGTCATTTCCTAATTCAAGAGGGACTCTCACCTTCCAAGTTCTCTGGTTTTGCTGAAGACATTAGCGCTTTTTCGAGAGTGCAGAAAGGAATGTTGGAATGTGGCTGAATCAAACAGCCATCAGACTGTTTCCATTACATCACTGGGTCTACAACAGGGAACCAGCTTTGAGACCGGCTAGTGCTAACAGCCACAACAGCGTTGCAAGAGACCAATTCCCCAGTGGTACAATGCAAGAGATCCCAGTGCAAGGGTATCACACACGTAATAATACAGTATATAATACATATCACATATCACATATATGTATATATATATATATATATTTATACATGTGAGATATCTACATCATCGAATCTGATTCATTCTAATTTTATCCAAAGTAATGATTTCATTATCACCTTGCCAGACACACCCAGAAACCATGGTGGATGTATGGGATGTAATCACCATGAATCAGGGACAGTAGGGCCATGGGTTTTTGTGAACAACGTTTGGGGGATCGGATTATGAACCATATATGATTCATAGATGTGTAGTATAGTATCTATCATTCACTTATTTCTCAACTTATTTTAGTTTCCTACATAACCAATTCCGGTCCCACATAAAGATATCATAAATGTACATAAATGTGCCACTAAGATCAAATTATAAATACCATAATTGGTGTGCAATCTGATAACAGTAAATTATATTAAATTATGATATCCTAAGTGATACACATTACGCATATGCCCTTGTCTTATTTTGGATGATTGGTGAGTAATTTTTCGACACCATGTGGGGATGGGTCAAAACTATTCAAAATTCCGATCTTTTTCGGGGAATAGCCATGCATTAAGCAGCTATTTTAGGGTCCCATCCAGGTAAGCAGGTAGCGCTTTGGATATCCCCCATCCGATTCCGCCGAAGACTCCTTTGTGGCCATGATCGTGAGCTTCTCAACGACCACCTGGCCGTTGATCCGAAATGAGATCGGTCAAAAAAGGTAGAGTTATTTCACAACTGGATAATGTGGATAACTGGGATATAATCGGTTATAACCAAGGTTATTAGTGGCTTCTAAGTGGTTTTTTGAATGGAATAAGTAGGCTTATTCCACTCAAAAAACTGCGTGGCAGCACCAGGGATGTTCACCTTCTGGCAGACTCGTGAAGCCAGCATCAAACATGGTGGATCATGGTGAAAATACCCTCTGGTAATTTAACATAGCTATGGAAAATGGACCATTTACTGCACGCAGGTCAGCCCTGGCAACTTGTTTTGAACCACAAAGCGGCTATGCCGTCTCGATTTGGCGTGTCATCCTGTGCAGGTGGCTGTGCTAATCTTCTCTGACTTTCTCAGCAAGACTGAAACCTACACAACTGAACATGCTGTTTCACGTTTCAAATTGGAGTCTGATATCCATGCACTCCTCCCAGGATTGACATGTTCATGCAATCCTGCTTTCTGGAAAATTTTGAGCTCTCTAGGCCCAAGCCGCTAAGCACACCTTTGGCATGCATCATATCCGATCAGCTCTCCCACAACCTTAGGGCACTTCTTCTTCGTATGGACTAACTGGTTCTTATCCATCATCATCACGTCAGCCACCAAGTAGGTGTCGCCACATTCACCACAAAGCGGCTTTCTTCCTTTCCAAGACTGTGCCAACGTCGGGCATCCACTGCTTCTATGGAATCTCCTCCCATTTGGTGTGATGATTGGCCCCACCAGGTTCGGCTTCTCTGCACTATCTGGACGCGCAGACTGAGCTCCCTCTCCTTGGTTAGGCTTTGCACCACTCGGACCCGCAGACTGGGCTCCCTCTCCTCCAGGGTTCCCACAGCGCCATCCAGGAGTGGGCACTGCTCCGCTCGGACCCGCAGAGTGGGCTCCCTCTCCTCCAGGGTTCCCACAGCGTCGTCCAGGACGAGCAGACTGGGCTCCCTCTCCTCCAGGGTTCCCACAGCTCCGTCCTTGAGCGGGCATAGGAGGCACTGTCTGTGCTCCCTTTTTGTCATGTCGTTCCTCCGTGCCTTTCTCGGTTGTGTGACTGTCGCTTCTGGTAGCGGAGCTTCCTCCTTCCTGTCTTTTTTCATTGGAACCTTTGTTTTCAGCTTTTCTCATCCTCAGAGTCGCCACTTTCACGATGGTCTGTTCTCCTTCTTCACAACTTATCTCTTCTTCTTCTTCGCGTACATGAAGTTGGTGACGTTCTCGATCGCGCATGAAGCCGCGAAAGTCGCGCGTAAGGCCGCGAGAGTCGCGCATAAGGCCGCGAGAGTCGCGCATAAGGGCGCGAGAGTCGCGCGTAAGGGCGCGAGCTTGGCATTCCTCGTGATCTCTCTTCTCATGAAAGATCTTCCACATTCTTTCTACCAACTTGTACAAAACCACTCCAAGGATCATCATCAACAAGCCAAATGCCGCCAAAACTTCTGATCCTTCTTCCGTCTCACTCTTGTCCATGGCATATACTCTTTCTACCTTCTGAAGTACCGCCATGAGGGTGGCGATCTTTACCACCTTTTCCATATCTCCTGCAAAGACCTTCTTGGATACCGTCACAGCTGGTTCTCTGTCCTGTTCCTCTGCCAATTTTTCTTCCTCTTTCTCAATCCTTTCTTCCTTCGCTCTGGAGAAAGCTACTACATCTGGTAGCCATTCCAGATTCATCTTCTTTGACAGATCCTTCGTTTTGTTGGCACCAAGAAGCTTTGTACCCATGTCTGCGACGAGCTCTGTGCCCCGTGCATGGTGCATCTTCCAGTCTCCAGCTTCCACCCTCCATTTGAGGTGTGTCGCACGTACTTTCAAATGCCGTGTGCGCCAAGCTCCTGTCCGCGTGGTGGACAAAGCCACGGCTGCCATGTTGTCACATACCAGCTGCTTATCCACTCTTCCTTCCAACTCCTCCACTATGCATGCTAAAGAGTCTCCAACTATGACTCCCTCGATGGCTTCTACCAGCTCAGTCTCTGCGGTAGACAAACAGGGGAAAGGCTGTTTTGAGGACCTCCACATCACTGGCGTACCTCCCATGCTTGCTACCACTGAGCCATGCGACAAACCACCACCTGGTGCAAAACTGGCATCTGTTGCCACTTCCAGGACATTCCCTCCCTTCTTCCTGAAGTACAGTCCCATACCCCAGGTTCTGTTGAGGTACTTCATGGTGTGTGCAGCTGCTCCTGCACACCATTTTGGAGACCTGGTTGCATTTGAACAGATACGGCTGGTAGTGTAAGCTAGGTCGGGTCGGGTCTTTCCGGCCAACCACAGCAGTTCTCCGGCCAGTTTTTGGGCCAGTTGGATCTCCTCTCTTGTCCTATCTAGCTCCTCCTCCGGCTCGAAGTTGTCTTTCAAAGGGGATGCCGCAAACTCCTTGCAGTTGTGGCGCTTCAGCACTTCTTTCACAAAGGACTGCTGTCCCGCAAAGTAATCCCCTTCGTTGTTCTTGTAGATCTCGATCCCGCAGAACCGAACTGGCTCTGTTTCAGTGACCCATTGAGGTTTGGTCACTTCCCATGTCTTCTGTATCTTTTCCACCACCATGTTGGTGATCTCCGGGTTCGACATGACCAACATGTCGTCCACGTAAATCAAAACCAATCCTTGCACTCCACCTTCATCTCTAAGGCTGGTATCCTTGATCAGCCAAAGGTTTTCTTCTGCAAAACTCGGCAGCAACTTCAACGTCCTGCCTCCTTGTTGTATTTCCATGCCATGTAGGGTTCCATCCCTGTGATCACTCCACAGGCGAGGCGACTCTCTCAGTCCATAGAGGGCACGTTCCACTAGCCAAAGCTCTCCAACTTCGATCAGACCTAGTCTTTCCAGAACCCGCGGTGGTTGCATCAACACAATGCGGCCTCTGTCTCTTGTTGGGTCTTCTCTTGGTTGTGGTTTCTCATGCACATCCCCCAGCTGCGCGTTCAAAAACGCTGCAACCACATCTAAACCTGCAATGTCCCACCCATAGCGTGCTGCCATGGACAGTGCAAGTCGCAGGCAGATTGTGTCTGCCCCTCCTGCATAGTAGTTGGCATGTTCCTCCTTGGTTTCTTTTTTGTCTCCTCCTTGAAGGTGATTCCCACACACCACCAGGCGGCATTTCTTCTTACCATCTGGTGCTTTTATCGTGTGTACTGCTTTTCCTGGCACCACCTCCAACTTGTCTGCATGCTCTCTCTTGTAGTACGCAGCTTCCTCTTTGGTCAGCCTCTTGACTGCTCCTTTCTGCACCAAATTGTTAATCTCCTTTCTGATAGCTCCAACCCACTCACCTTTGTTTTGATACACTTCCTGGTTGGAAACTACCCTGGTCTGTAGCACTTCTTCTTCAAGTCGGCCTTCTTGCAGTGCCGCCATTTCCTTTCTGATGGCAATCATCCCTTTCATCACTGCCGGAATGACCTCTTCGTCTTCATTGTACATCGCTTCATCCTGCTCCAAAACTGCCTGGAACAGCTTGATACTTTCTGCAAATTCTTCTTCTGGAATCCTCAAAGAAGCGACTGACATCTTTTTCCTCAGTCTTCTTCGCGCTTCCATAGGATCCCTTTCTTGAATCACTTCTTCTAACTCCAACTTCTTTTCTTCCTCCTGCGGCTCTTTGCAGTCCTGGATCAGGCAGCTCACCACCTTGAAACTCCCATCTTCTTCCATAACCGCATGTCCTTTTGAAACTTCTGGGATTGGAGTCAGGTAAGTGACTTCTTGCGCTGTAGTTTCAAACTCATCTCCTCTTTTCCATTTCCGCTTTCTTGTCACTATCTTCTGTCCAAACCTTGGCAGCTTGTCCTCAATCTTTTCAAACCTTCTTCTCTCCAGCTCTACCACATGTCGTGCTGCAATCGGCCACCACTTCGTCTCCATGCCAGAGGAGTGCAAGAGACGTCGCACCCTTCCCTTGATAGAAGCTATTGCAGCTTCCGCTCTTCCATTTTGTTGGTGTTCTTCTGGGGTGGACGATGTCCTCACAATTCCTCGGTTCAAGCACCATCCCTTCAAGTGCTTGTTGACAAAGGTTGTTTCATAGTCCGTGTGCAGGCGTACGACTGGGTAGCCATACCTTCTGAGCTTCACCACCAATTCTTGGACTCCTGACAAAACATCCAGCGCATGCTTTGAGGCTAATGGCACGCATGTCATCAGCTTCAGCATTCCTTTTGTCTTCAACTTTTCTTCCAGCTTCCCTTCTTCAGCCTTCTCCTCAACCATGTTCTTCGCCGTGGCGCTGCTAGCGCTGCTGGCAATTCGGTGCGGTGCAAGGGGCTGCAGCTGCTGCGGCCTTGGTGGATCTTGTCTTAAATTAGTGCCTTGGAAAGTGGTCTGCCATGTTTCCTGGCTTGTTTGTTGTTGCAAGTGCATGTGCAAGATTTGGCGTGAAGGTTTAGTGGTTTGTCCCACAACTTTGTCAGATATGATAGGATCAACGGTGTATCCTTCCCTGGTTCATGCTCAGGAGATCTCTCTCTGTTTCCTGGGCCATGTCTCTGAATGTTTTGGCCGTGCTACGGGGCCAAGTTTGGGATGTTTTCCTGGGTCGCTCGGGAGTAGGCTTTCCTGCTTGAGGTGTCCCTTTCCTCTCGCTGCGACTCTTTTGCTCGCTGCGTTTGCTTGCCTGCTCGTGCTCGGGATGGCTTTCCTCTTGGGCCGCTTGCTGCGTTGCCTGGCTGGTTGGTTTCTCCACCCTGGGCCCCGATGGTGTTCCCCTTGTCGTTTTGTTCTCTCTGCTCGCGCGTGTTGTTGTAGGAGGGGATGGCGTAAAAGACACCATGTCAGATGTGAGCCGCCTGCTTTCCAACCAAGGAGGAAACAGCGCACGTACATGACCCTTAACACTCAGCTTGCTGTACGTAAGCCTGCCTTGAACCAGTCTCTCAGAGGAGGTGGCTCTCCTAGTGAAGCTGACCTTCTTACTAGTTTGCAGACGCTTTTGCAGTCCTTTGCTGGAGATAATAAGCAAACTGGTTCTCACAAAGGGTCCCCCAAGGGTTCTCCTCCTAAGCATGTGCATGCCAAAGGAAAAGGTCTGAAGGGATCGTTTTCTAATCCTGGAGACAAAGGATCCAAAGGATTCTCCAAAGGTAGCGCCAAGGGCAAAGGGAAGGGCAACATTCAGCAAGCCCCCCCAAACAGTGAAAGTGCTCTTTTAGTTGCGTTGACTAAACTGGTTGAGAGATGCTCCAAACAGGGAGCTGATGGGTTGTTGAATCGGCTAGGTAACCTTGTTCAGGTCGCTAGTCAAGGGAAGCTCAAGCATCCTAAAAACAAACAGCCTAAACCTCGGTTGACCCATCCTCTGCCTGCCTCGGGAAAGGGGAACGACAAGCCTCCTAGACAGTTTCCCACTTTTGCTGACATCGTGTCTAAGGGCTCCCCTAACACCGCTAACCCACATGTTTGGACTGAGGTGACGCGCAAGAAAAACCACAACAGACTTACTGGGGTCAAAGCTGAAAACGACCCTTCCGTTTCTATTCTCCCGTCTGTTTTTGCCCCCGGTAATTTGAACTCAGAGAAGACCTTGCTGCAGTCTCTCGAGAAAGGACAGGGTGGGAAAGCTCAGTTTTGCTTGGTGCGCTCCCTTGAGTCAGCTGTGCACTTACAAAACTTGGCTTCAGTGCATGATTTGAAAGATAGTGTTGGTCTCTTGGTCCAAACTAAACAAGCTGATTCGGTTGATAAAGATACCAAGTCTGTCCTGCTCCCGGCGCAGGCCAAAGATAAAGGACCTCTGCTGACTAAATTTTGGGTTTTGCCACTGGCCTCTGACTTGCCTCCGCTCCCAAAATTCACTCTGAGCTCCACTTCCCCGAAAGTCAACCGTGAGTTGGCGTGTTTCCGGGTTGCTGTTTGTAAGTCCTTCCTTGACGATACCCAATGGGAGGAAACTGTGAAAGCCCCCATCCAAACTGTGAAGAGTTTGCTTCCTGCTTCTGCTTTCCACTCTAGCTTCAAGTGGACTAAGACCACGCAAACCTTGAAAGACGGTGGCCAGGAAACTGTTCTTGAAGGTTTCCTCAAAGTTGATAAAGCTTCCGCTGACGAAGTTGCCAAACTGAGCGGCAGTAAAGGTGTTTTCCTCAGCCGCCTTAGACAAGAAGAGCCTAAACCATGTCATGTCACTTGGGTTGAAAAGTTGGAAGATGAAAAAGCATGGCAATACTACGCTCGAGTCTGCCAAAAAGCAGCTAGTAGTTCTGGATGTCCGGTAGCCTACCGGAAAGGCGGGGGAAACTCACTAGGTCTGAGGGGCACGGGGGTCGGCCCGGCCCAAACGGGCAGTTGGTTCCTGCAAGGGGTCCCCCGCAATTGGACTGCTAATGATGTGGAATCTGTTCTTTCGAATGCTGGATGTTCTGAAACCTCGGTGTTGAGACCCCCAAGACGCAAGTGCCCGTGGTTGGTTAGAACCAAGCCCCCCAATCAATTTGATAGCTGCACTCAAGTGGTTGGAATTGAACATGTTGACACCATGCTCATGCTGATTAAAGCTCCAAGCCGTTCCAGGAGCGGTGCTTCAATCCCCATTGCAGGTGGAAAATGGGGGCATGTCAGCTCTACCAGTCCCATTCCCGCTGTTGCTCCCCCGCTGCCTCAGGAAGAAAAAGTCGAGGGTACTGAACAAATCAAGAAAAAGGTTAAAACCGATGCTGTTAGTAACCATCCCGACTTCACGACAATTGAATGTGGAGGAGGGGGTGACTGTGGCTACCTCAGCTTGTGTGTCGCTATGGGTATGGCCAGAGGTCTGAGTCTCCAGGAAGCGCAATCCAGTGCTGTGGTCGCGGCCAAGACCTTAAGATGTGATGTCCAAGACCATATTCGGAAAAACAGTGGCATGTATTCCCCTTTTTGGTGTCCTGATACGGATGCGGATGAGAACACTGAAGGAGGTGTTGTTCCCACCACCTTTGATGCTTGGGTGGATTCCCTGACGCGAAAGGGGCAATGGATCAGTGGTTTGGTTTTGAAAGCCGTCAGCCGCAGATGTGGTGTCCAGATTGTTGTCATCGAACTCGTGGACAATGAGTTTCGCGAACCTGTGATTTTTGGAAAACCAAAAAGAGAGGCTTCCCCCATTGTTTTGCTTTTACATGATCGACACTACCAGTTGTTTGCCTTGAAACCCAACAGATCCATTCCCAATGAATGGCTCAAGGGTCGAGAAAGTAACAGTGAATGTCCTTTGTTAAGAGGAGCTGGTAGCCAGTCTGCAGCTGCATCCCCGCGGAAAGCAATTAGGTTTTGGGCTTCAGAAACTCCAAGTGTCAAAAGCTCGGGAGGAAGCAAGCGACTGTGGGACGATGCCACGCCCAGCCGTAGCCTCAGTAAAAGCAGTTCCTTGGTTTGTCAGACTCCTAGTTATGCTGCTACCTCCACAAAGAAGGGTCGGGTTGACCACAGCCGGGTTTTGTCCTTGGGTGAATTGGTTCCCCAAACTGGTTCCCGCACTTGGTGGAAATGTAACCTCTGTGATTTTTCAATTCCCTCCGGTAGCAAGGGAGACAGCCAGCGGTCGTGGAGCAGACGGAAGCATCTCCAGACGGCGCATGGAATTACTGCTAGTAAAATCCCCAAGCTCCCCAACCAGGGTGCCTGTCCGAATGCTTGGAAAGCTAAATGCACCCAAGAAAAGCTGGAACAGAGATGGAACATTGTTTGGGAATTGTATCAAAAAAAGAGATGGCCAGGCAGTCATGACATTCCCAGGGAAAGAATTCCCACCAAATTCAAAGGTGTGTTCCGAACCCAATGCAAGCGCTGCCATGTGAAATTGCGAACAAATGAGCTTTTCAGTAAGGTTTGTGCTAAGTCCATTTCCAAACAGATTTTAGAGCCTCTCTCTGCTCGCAAAGCTGTTTGGCAATCTATTTATGGGGAAGCCTCTGACATCTTGAGATTGGATTGGCTTGAGCGAAACTTTGTCCGCAAACGAGATGTTTCCAAGCCTCGGAAAATTGTCCACAAACAAGGAAGGGTGCGCTCCTCGTTCAAGGTTGATTTGAGCAAGAAAGCTGATGGTCTGGCTGCCACCCGCCGTGGCAAAAGGGCTGAGCGAGTTGGAGAGGCTCGGCACCCAGGTCCATGTAGTGACAGTCTCAGTTCCTTAAAGTGTTGGTCTGTTAACTGCAGATCTTGGAAGCGACATGGTAATGATTTGTTGCTGACTGCTGCCATTAGTGGAGTAAAGATCCTCATGATCCAAGAACATGGGCTGACGACAGCTGAGTTGGGAGTGACTATGAGAGATGTGCAAAAAGCCGGGTGGCAAATGTTACCCCTCCCCGCAAATAGCTTAGCAAATGGGGGCAGAGGCGGCATCGCTATTTTGGTCCGGGAGCCTTTAGCTGCTTTGAAAATTTCTGATGTCACGCTCGAATCTGGCCAAATCCTTAGTGCCGAAATTTTTGGCCTCGGACATCCCCTGAGGGTTGTATGCCTGTATCAACGTAAGGCAGGCCAAGAAGAATTCCTCAATTTTTTTCAACAGAATGCTGTTTTCTTCAATAGGGGCTGCTGGATTGTTGGTGGTGATTTCAATGAAAATGTGCAACATGGCACCGTGGCCAACTTCCTCAGACAACACGGAGGTGATCTGATTTCCAAAGGTAGGTATATCCAAAATACCAAGGTTTCTTGGGAACACGTTCCTGCGGAAGATGTGAACGTTCGGTTTATCGATGGCATTTTCTTTAATGGCCCGTGTTTCAAGCTTCCTTTGGTTCAGGAACTTCCTCCTGTTGGTGCTGACCATACCATTCCTGAAGCTACGTTTTTCGTTGATTTATCCCCGGGTGAGAAAGAATTCCGTATGGCCCGTCGTCGAAAACGTTGTGAAATGCAGGAAGGTGTCACTAGACCGGACATCCAAACCTCCTTTTGTTCTTGCGAGATCTGGAATCGTGTTTTGCTTGAAGATGTCAACTCCGCCTGGCACCAATGGTGCCTCGACGCTGAATCCTGTTTAATCCGCCTCGGAATCTTAGAGCCTTCCGCTGCAGAAGTCGCTCTTGGGCAATATTCATTTAGAGAAGGTGGGGCTAGAATGGCTCCCAGTCAAAGACACCGAGAAAGAGAACTGCGCCGTATCCTAAGACGTTTGCAGGAAGCACAGTTAAAAAAGGGTCGGGGCCAGACGGTGCCTAACAGTTTGCGTCGCAAGCTTAATAGTTTGCCCGGTACTGTGGGGCAGCTTGCCCGCCAAAATGCTTGGGGCCCAGCAATCCAGAGAGTTCAGCAAGATCTCCAAACTTTCCTGTGCAATGAACAAACCCGTAAATCCCAGAAGTGGAAACAAGACATGTCCCATTTGCCTTCCGCTATGAAATGGATTCAAAATACTGCAGCCCCAGCGCCATGGCTTCTTCGTGGCAATGGCCAAACTACGACCTGCCGGGCTAGCGGTGCCAAACTGCTGTCTCAAGTTTGGGCTCCAATTTTTGGTGTGGGCCATGATGACCAAACTGCATGGCAAAACTTCCAGAGAGCTTATGGGCCTTTCCTTGAACCTCCTCACGGAGACGAACTGCCGGAGCTCCAACCCATCTCAGCCAGCTCCCTTCAGAGGGTCGCCAACAAGATGAAAAGGTCCTCTGCAGGAGTCGACGGATGGGATGCCACTCTTTTGTCCCATCTCCCTCCTGAGGGTTGGGACAGACTTGCCCAATTGCTTAATCGATGCGAAGAAAAATCTGAATGGCCGACCTCGTTGAAAGTGTGGAAACTCGTTTTCATTCCAAAGGGCAAAAGCGACTCAGCACAAACTGCAACAGATGCTCTTCAAGTTCGTCCCATAGCCGTGGGCAGTCTCATTTACCGCCTGTGGGGGAAGGTGAGATTGCAACAACTGGCTCCACATTTGACAAACCACTTGGCCCCCTTTCAATCAGGGGGTAACGCCGGCCCGGATGTGGAGAGCATGTTGGTTTCCTTAGCTTTGGATTTCCCTAGTGACACATATCAATATGCCATGGCTCTCGATTTTAGTAAGGCCTTTGACAGCACTGACGCCTTTACTGCTTTGGAAATTCTCAAACTGTGGAAAATTCCTTCGGCCATTGTTGGGTTACTTGCTGCCCAGTGGTTTGGTCATTCTCGAATTTCAAGCTTCGGCGGGGCCGTATTTCCCCACGAAATGACCGGAACTTGTGGTTTACCTCAAGGGGACCCTTGGAGCCCCTTGAGCATGGCAGCAGTGCTTGCAGCTCCGTTGCGAAAGTTACAACAAGAACGCCCTGGTGTTGGCCAGATGTTATATTTAGACGATCGAACTATTTTGGGGCGTAGTGTAGCTGACATCCGAGCGGTGCAGTCGGCTTGGAATGAACTTTCAGATGTCACCCGGCTCCAGACGCATCCCCAAAAGACGCAGCTTTGGGGGCGAACCCAGGAAGCAAAACGGTACCTGCAATCATCCAATGAAGCTGACGTGAAAGATTGTGGTGAAGTCCTTGGTGCGGTTGATGGGTTGGGAAGCAATCATCTGAAGGAAGAAGCTCGCAGAGAAACAACCCGTCAGAGAGCTCGTCACATCATGAGCTTGCCTATTTCCCAGCGAACCAAGCAGCTGCTTGCTAATGCCTTGCTCACCCCGCAAGCGGTGTGGGGCATTTTCAATACTGGAAGACCTTGCGCTCAAGAGCAGCTGTTGGAATTTACCAAATGTTTTCGTGAATCTGTTCGTGGCAGCGAAAATAGGGGAGACCGTAGTTCCCGCCCGCTCCAGAGAGTTTTTCTGCTAGGGCATACATGTGATTTAGCTTTGGTGGCCTGCTCTCGGTTTATGAATGCACTGAACAGGTGGACCCTGCTCCGCATTAAACAAGGTTGGTTTGTCCCTTCTCCTCGCGCGCCTATCCCACCAGTGATGCAATATGTCTCTTCGTTCCTGACGGAATGGGGTTGGCACTTGGAAGATTGGGGCAGATGGTCTGGCCCGTCCGGATCTTTCGATGTTCGGAACAGCAAGCAAGTCAATTTGAAAGCTATGCATGATCTCAGGACCGATTGGAGACTTACTCAGATGAAAACGTGGCAAGATTCCAATCGAATTGATGCAATTTGTGCCAGAAGGAACAATTTGCATCTGACCGCTGTGCTTTTGGACAAGTTGAGAAAAGTTGCAAAAAAAACGTCCATCGATGGGATAGCTGTGATGTGTGGGGGCGTTTGGAGCCAAGCTGTGGATCGTTTTGGAGACCGACAGATTCGTCCGACTTGTCCGTATTGTTCCTCGGAAGTGGTTCCCGAACTCGAACACATTTACTGGTTTTGTAATGCTTTTGATGTGTCTAGGAACATGTCCCCTCCTGAAAGTCTGTTAGCTAGACGTTTGGGGTGGGATGACAGTTTGTCTGAGTCGCAATGCCTCAGCCTGGTCAATCAGATGGCCGCTATCCGCAGAACTGAGGTTTCTCTGAGGTCAAACTCCCTTCGCGGGGGAAACATACCAAGGTTCGAGTCGCTGCCCGACTGCCTGGCAGCTCCTCAACATGACAGTGCAGCTGCTGCTCCTGCTGCTGCGAGCCGCGAGGTTGCAGCCGGTGAGTGCGCTCAGAGGGCGTCTTCTACTGCGCTTAGGGTAGACCATGGTGTTCGTTCTCAGACCAGCTCCGGTCAAAATCAGTTTAAAAGCCAAGTGAGGATGGCTGAGAGTCTGTTTGTTGCTGACCAATTTTTGGAGGAAAGGCCACAAAAAGATGCCGTCAAGACCCTGGAGGCTAAGAAGTGCAAGTGTTACAGGAGCAATGTTTCACCTATTGTTGAGCGTTATCAACTGAGAAGAGCTTTGCCTAACAGAGGGCCTCTGACGCTGTTGGTTTTTGGTCCCCGGATGAAACAAGAGAAGCCTAAAAGAGCCCTTTACAAGAAATGGACGCCTGTGTGGCGCAAGAATTTTAAGTGTGCGTGGCTTAAGCCTGCATGGCTTGCCTTCGGCTTGAATTCGTGTCAGAATTCGTGTCCGAATTCGTGTTTTTTAATTTTGGACTGGATGCCCACTATCTCCTGGAGATCCGTGGCCAATTTTGTCTCCTCCTTTGGAAACACCTTTGTAGGCCGCCAAATTGGGGCCCCCCAGGGTTTCATACCGGGCGTGCTGCGTTGCTGCAGCCATGATCGTGGAGCCTAGCTCCACCTTTCCTGCCTCTAACCCGTGTCAGGTTGAGGTACTCACCGTTCGCGCCTTCTCCTCAACACTTTCTGCATCTTCAGGAGGCTTCTCTTCCTCCCCTTTCCTTTTCGATGCCGGTCTTGAAGGTAAACCCTCTGCTTGAGCCTCCTTCTTGGGTGGCGAGGAAGAAGACGCTGACGCCTCCCTTTGCTCTGCCTCTTCATCTTCCAAAACCGGAAGCATTTCATCATCTTCAGCAGTCTCCTCATCCAACATCCCCAAGCTTTCATCAGAGTCCTTACCTTCCACTGGCCACGTGTAGGAGCCGACCAAAAGGTATTTCTTCTCTTCACCATCCACGTCCTGACCCCACTTCAATGGGCCACAAATGTCAACAGCTAAACAATGCGCTTCTGGATCATCATGTCTTCTATGCGGCCTTTGTCTCGCTGCTGACCTCTGGCAAACCACGCAATCGCGCCGAAACGGCACATGTCCATTGTCAACGTGGGCAGTCCACGACAACTTCTTCAGTCGAACTTCTTTTCCTTCTACTTCCTCTATCAAAAGCCTTGCAACTTCATGCATCATCCCAGGAGCCCACCTCGAGAGCTTACTGGAATCCAGTTCTGGACCTTGTTCTCTGCTCCTCCCACCATGTACTAGTGGGTCTGGTGGTTGAAACCCAAGGTTTGTTCCGCATGTTGTTGGCTTTCTCGCTTCACCTCCAAAATCTCCTTGGTAAAACATCACTTCTTCCATCTGGTAGTAGTGCTTGAACAGCAACCATGTTCGATTTCTCCACCACGAAGCGCATTCTGGACACCACTCCGGTGCTGCTGGCTGCTCCAACAGAAATCCAACCTTGGCCTTCAAACACTTCTTGCTTCTTTCTTTCACCATTGCATCTCTCGCTATCTGTGCAACCATGTACAGGGTCAGCATCCTCAGCATCAATGCATCGTCCTGCAACAACTTTCCTTGTTCATCAGGGGGAGCATCTGGAAGTCCCCAAGGGTATCCCGCCGTCCTCGATGGTCCTGGGAAGCCTTCTCTTGGTGTGTGTCGCAGCACTGAACGTGTGCGGCAATTTGGGCCACCAACCACTGCATCAATGGCTCCTAGCATTGCCAGCTTGAAGAGGGTACTGTACATCCCTCCAATTCTCAACATGTCATGATGTGCTCCTCTCTTCACGTCTATTTCGATCAACCTCGTGCCATCACCTCCCTTCTCCAAGTAGGCTCTCTTCAGAGTCAGGCCTTCTTCTGGCCCGGCGTACAAATGTACAGTGACCCCTTGTTCAATCCATCGTCTCCTGGTTCTTCTGTTGGCCTTCAAAAGCGAAAGGTCTTCGGCCGGCACTTCCACTAGGTTGTCCTTGACAAGTGAGGGTATTGAGGCCAGTACTGGATGTTTCTCTACCAACTCAGCCATCCATTCTGCGCCCCAACATGCATCATCATATGCCACTTTTTTCATGCTTCGAAGCGACATCATTCCTTCAAGTTCATCCACCATCTTTTCCGCTTCTGCCTGGGTGATCTGTGGACATCCTTCTTCGACCTCCACTGCTATCTGTCCCCTGATGGGGTGGAAAAGAAAGCATTCATCATCTTTCCACTCAAAGCTGCATCCCAGTTCTCGTACTAGACGACCAACTGGTAGTATCGGTTCCATCCCTGGTTCTTCATGTACCAGGGTTCCTCCATCCGTCATCCACATTGTCTTTGAACCTCCAGCTGCAAGGTTCACTCTCACTTTCTTGTACTCTTTGCCCTCAACCAGGTTCTCATCACTCCTCTTGGACCTCAGAGCGTGAGTGGCTCCAGTATCCAGCAACGCTTTCTTGCCGAACTTGACTCGGGCAACCATGGCAGTCTTCATCATATTGATTCTAGGCTTCCACGATCCGTCCTGAATCTGTTGCAACTCCTTCTGTAGCTCCAGCATCCGTCCTTTGGTCATTTCTTCCCTGGTCTTTGTAGGCTTTTCTTCAACTCCCATGCTCTTCAGCATCTTCGAAGCTTCTTCCATGACGCTTCGCAGAGAGTCTCCTCCAACACTAGCAACTTCTTCTTTGGTGGTCTCAGCCTCCTTTGTTGCCACTGCTGGGGCCTCAGCAGGGGCAGGGCTCTTATTGGCGGTTTTGTTGGGGGCCTCAGCCTCCTTTTCCACTTTCTGCACCTTTGGGTCTTTTTGAATGTCCTTGCGTGGACACTCCCTCGCAAAATGCTTGGTGGATCCGCACACATAGCACCTTTTCTCCCCTGGCTCTACATTGTGTCCCCAAGTGCAAGCTGCACCACGTCTGCAACCATCCTCCTGATGAAAGAACTTGCATTCCTTCACATTCTTTTTCACATTCTTGTCCTCTGTGCTCCCACTGCTTGCGGCGTTCAACTGCTTCACCTGGCTGGTTGTAGCTGTCGCTCTTTCTGCATTAGCCACCTTTGACCTTTTCTCCAAGTGGACCAGTTGCTCCAGTTCCGACAGTAGGTGTTCAGAGTACGTCCTCACAGTTTGATGGTTTGGAATTGTATCCAATTGGAGTGTGTTTCTGACAAGTGAGGTTCTGAAAGCTAGTTCTGGGTTGTTGTTCAGCAGCTTCTTCATCAACTTTGTCAGACCACGCAAAAGTATAGTGGAATCGGGTAAGCATAACCCGACATCCTGAGCTCTTCTCAACCATCGCAACCACTTCCGAAGACTTTGGACTCCAGTCACTGCGTTTCCTGCTTCGCCAGGATCCTCCAACTGACGCAGAATCACAGTTCGTTCATGTAGTCCACCAGGCTGGTAGATGGTCATCAACTTGGCAATCACCTTCACTGGAGAAAGTGACTTGGTAGCAACAAGCTCTTCTCTCACTCCAGTGGGTATGGCATCCATGAGCATGGAAACAGCTCGGCGTTCCACTCGAACCCACTTCGTCTTCTTCAGTTCTTCAGAGGCCTCGATCTCAAAGCTTGTTCTTTGAAGTGGTCGGAGCTTCACATACTCAGAGTACCATGCGCTGCATTCATCCAGCACAAGTCGCCACCAAACATGCGAACTGTCTGACAGATCCGTCATCACCGGCTCTATCATGGTCAACCAGTCGGCATAGTCAATGGGGGCCGTTTCGGTCGGCTCCTGGAGGGTCTGCAACTTGTTCACTCCAGGTTTGACCGCTTCCATCTTTTCTCCATCATCTTTACCTTGCTGACTTTCCAGAAGGTGCAACATCATCTTAGACAGGACATCAACCTGCCTTTGCATTCTTCCATCATCAGCTGGCTCCAACGCATTTCCTTGGTTCTTCCTGGCATCTCCTCCGGTCCCTTTCTCACCTGCTTCCTTCTTTGGAACATCTCTTCCTTTCTGTCGTGCTCCTTCTGAAGGTTGATGAGATTCCCAAGGTCCTCGAAGGTCTCGTCCAGGAGGTGGCTTCTTCACTGAACCCACCGCAGCATCCATCACCTTTTGCAATTCATCATATTGCTCCATCGGTGTCAACTCGTACAGCCTTCTCCTCTCGGATTCCAAGTCATTCTCTGTCTTCACAACCCGGTCTTCAGCTGCACGGCTTCCTTGCTGTTGGCTTTCCGGAGTCTGAAACCCTTCCACTTCAGGCTTAGCCTTTCTTCCTCCTTCGCCATTTGGCACCTCTACCTCAGAGGTCTTTCTTTCTTCCTTCTCCCTCAGCTTTTCTTTCAGCAACTCCTGTTCCATCTTCAGCTGCATGTTCTCTTGCTGCAACATGAAGAAGTACTGCATCATCTGCTGCTGATAAATCACTGAGGGCGTACCAGCAGGCATCGCTGCAGGTCTTTCTGCAGGTAGAAACTTCGGTCTTTCCAACTGCACATCTTCCAAAGCTAAACCTGAAGACCTGGCTTCATCCTCTATTCCTAGCTGCGTCCTCTGTGGACTTCCATACAACAGAGGTGCTCTGTTGTGCAGTTCTTCAAACTGCCTCACTTGTTCTTCGGTGAACAGCGGCTCTAGCTCTTTTTTGGGTTCTTCATTCTCTACATCTTTCTTTTCATCTTCAAGTTCCAACATTTGAGGGTTTTGAGGTCCATAACTCACAGGTCTCCCAGTTGGCCCAAGCATCTCCTCTTCTGGCCTTTCTTCGCCTGATCGGTCAGCTTCAAGACTTCCACTGGCTCTCCTGCGCATCATCATGGCTCCTCAGCAGCGGCTAACGACAGGTTGGGCTCATAACCTGCACGCAGGTCAGCCCTGGCAACTTGTTTTGAACCACAAAGCGGCTATGCCGTCTCGATTTGGCGTGTCATCCTGTGCAGGTGGCTGTGCTAATCTTCTCTGACTTTCTCAGCAAGACTGAAACCTACACAACTGAACATGCTGTTTCACGTTTCAAATTGGAGTGTCTGATATCCATGCATTTACAGATGATTTTCCCAATAAAACCTCCATTTATAATGGATTTTCCATAGCTATGTTAAATTACCAGAGGGTAAATGATATGGAGAGGAGACTATATTGATCTATATTGACGGATGTGTAAGATGAGGTGAAACAACACCAGAGCCAGTGATACCATGTTTCGATATGTTTTGATGATGTGTCTATGGATCAAAATTGGAGCACCCCAGCATCGACTCTTCATATCTTCAAAAATGACAAACCGGGGTCTTAATTTTGATCAGTAATTATACAGTATACATCTATTCTTCTGGTTGGTGGTTTCAGCCCCTGCCAAAAATTCTGGGATTTATGGATGTTCATCCCCCTAAAAATGGTATTAATAGGTATTGATCCATACCCATATCTAAGAACTATATGGGTATGTCTGAAAATGAGGTATACCCCCAATTATAGCCATTTAGTAGGGATAATGATCATTAACCATTGGGTGTAGGGGTACACTATTTTCAGACAAACCCATATCCCTGTTCCTATGAAACTCAAAAAAATCTGAATCCCCGCAATCTTTGTCGTGTCTTCAACAGGCTCGCCTCGAATCCCAGCATCATCGGCCAACGCAAGGCATCTCCTGCAGCCACGAAGAACTGGAGAAATCTAGGGCCGCCCCAAGGCGTTCGCCATGAATTTTCAAAACAATAACATGTCAGAAGTCATGTAGTATACCCTCTGGTAAATGTTTACATAACTATGGAAAATCCCCATTTTTAATGGGTAAATCAACTATAAATGGCAATTTTCAATAGCTATGTTTGTTTACCAGAGGGTAATTTATTCTACCATTGGACATCGCCATTTGTAGATGCCATCTTCCGATGTTTGGGGCGCTCTTAAATAAGCACCTTTCGGCATACTGTCCATACTGTTGGGACCATCATGCTTCTCAATTGCCAACAGTCCGAACACTCTAAGAACCTAACATCGTTGTAAAAGAGAATCCCCAGATGATCCGTAATTGGCAAAACATCTTTTTCACTCCCACCTTTTGGTGGTTTCCCCTGAAAAACATCAAACTGAGCTGGGATCATCATCTCATGTTTGAAACCACCAAGTAGTGAGGCCCTCTGGTTATTGAACGTTGCGAACTGGAAATCACGATAATTTGGTAACTGCATCGAATCGTTTTTTTCATCGAAGTAAATGGACTAACTTTGGGCCATGGTTCCATGCAGTTCTACATGTTTTGCCAACAAATTCCGCATAAGAACTTTCCCCAACTCTTGTCCCTCTTCCTGGCGCTGGCTCCAACCATTTCTTCAATTGATCCTGGACGGTCCAAGCTGCTTGGGATACCAAACTCATCTGGTGGTTATTTTTAAATACATGTCCCCTGTAGATGTTGAGGAACGATCTCATATTAGATATCTAAAAATAGCTAGGATTGGCTCATTGAAATCCGTAGTAGGTATTTGTGTCAACCACAAAGTGCTGGAAGCAGGGCATCCAACATGACTTGCTCATGTAGCTGGGGCAAAAATTGCCAGCCAGCTGCACAAGGTTCAGGCGCCACCACTCCATAATGCTGCCAATTAGCAGTATTCCTTACCTACCCTCCAGTAGTCAAACGTAGCAATGGCAGGCTTTAATGGGAAAATAATCTATAAACGGGGAAGTTTCCATAGCCATGTTTAATTACCGAAGGGTATATTAAAAAAAACTATTTTGTTATGCTTTGTTGGTTCATGTCTTCAGTTTTGGTATCATTTAACATGTTCATACATTTTCCCTCAAGCCTCAGAATGATTGACAGGTGGTGTCCTATGGGCAACCCCCATGATCCAAGTTGTCGGCCCAAATGGCAAAACCCATAGTTTTGGGGTAGCCATGGGTAGCCCAACTATTGAAAAACACCCATGTAGCTGTTGATGGATTTATGAATGATTATGATTTATGATTTGTTTCCAAATAGGACATAGATTTCGAATATTCAATGGATTGGTTTCAGGAAAATCTACAGAAAACCAGACCAACAGTGGATTCTTGTAGATTTTCCCTTCAACGAATCCACTGATTCTATCCCCCTTAATTTCCCCATTTATAGGTGACTTTTCCATGGTTGACCTAGGAGACTCTTTCCGGGCCTGCTGCCGGGCGCTCGGCAGGGTCTTGGTTTCAGCCTGTGGATGGCTGGCTGGAGTTGGTATATTCATGGCATCCTTTCAGATATACTGGATGAGTGGATGGATTATGTATGGTATATACCATGCCATGTGTTCTCTCATCTGTGGTATGATATGCTGGATTGGAATTGCCCTGTTTCATAGATACCTATCTCTTCCAGCATGTACATGTATAGTCTGGGATGTGACCTTGATATGGCAATGTGGATGTCACACGCATTGGTTATCTGCCTGTCCGTCTCCCTGCCTGCCTGTCTGTCTGCCTATCTATTGAGGTGGCAACAAACATTTTCCGGAATGAGATATTCAGATACCCATCATGTGATACCATAATGCGTCCGAAAATCCCAATTTTGAACAGAAAACCATAGCTTCCGCTCTCTATCTTTTTCAAAGGCTTTGTCCGAAAGTAGCGGCTACCCCCAAAGTCCAGTGGTTGAGAACTTAAATTTCTCCCTACTTGGATTATCTCCTAATTGGTGAGTAACCATAGCTAGTTCATCCATTTATCCATGGGATAACCCACGAAAAAAGGGGACTTACGTAATCTGTGGATTGGGAGATGGTGTATCCCATAGGAATCCCATAATCCCATTCTTGACAGTCTTTCATAGTTGGGCCACGTAATTATATTAGCTCCAAGTCATCAATTTTTGAAGAGTGTATTATCGTTTTTCAGGTTTTGGTATATAAGTAAATGTTATCGTTTTTTGAAGAGTGTATTATCGTTTTCCAAGCCCCAGCTCAATTTCCAAAAAATAGAGACCGCTCGAATACTACTCTCCATTAACCTACATTTCGGCTGTAGCTCAGTTACCAACTGGTCATAGTATATTATAATCCCATTCTTTGTATCTTATCCCAATATCCCATTGGAATTCCATTATTTCACAGTTCCCAACACTTCCCAACTGCAGGACATGACAACAAACGACAACCCGCCATCCGTCGCCTCCAAAGCTCGCACCAGCCTGGGTGAGTTTTCAGCCCGGCTGAATTAACCATTGAAATAGAGGTTGAAATAGCTGAAAAATAGGTGAATCAAGTGAATATCATGGTGAATAATGGTGTACATCATTGACAATCACACATCTGCGTTTTGAATATGAACTTCCGAATTTCGATGAATTTAGAGCTATGAAACAAACGATTGACAAACCTTACAGTAAGGTTTCTGCAGAGCATGAAGCCCAAGCATACCTCAAAGATGACCATCAAATGGTGGGTCTTCCCGGGCCATTTTACCAGGGGTATTCAACAGGTATTCCAGATCCTCCAGTTGGTGTTTTTACCCAACTCCTAAGAACATACTAGTGCGGGGATTCCAGACTCCAACCAATATATCTTTATTATTTGTGGGTAGGACCTCTTTTGCAGGGATATCTTTAAAACGCGAACCCCGTTCACACCGGTGCTCCCGGCCGGTACAAGGGCGCCGTTCCATCCGGGAATTCCCGTTGAAGTCGCAGCGCCACCTCCACAGAGGCCGATTCATGGATGATCCGGAACACCTCACACCCGCAACTAGCGAAGGGATTCAAAAAAGGACCTTTAATGGATAAATATGGATAAATTATCCAAAAATCCCGCAGCAGGAAATGCACCCAATCTATATATAAATGATCGTACATGAGTAAACCGATCATCATTTCAGTGTTCTGAAGTGGTGCGGAATAGACTGTCCATGAGCAGTGGGCTTGCTGGACTCTCAACTTGAATTGCTTGGGATGAAGCATGTTGGTTGGTTGAATCTCCTGGTGAGTTCTATTGATCAAACTTGACAGCGTTGATGGAAGGTCCAAATTTTGCACCCTGCCAATGATTTTGGGTAAAATCTAGCATTTGTATTCATTTGTTGCTTTATTTTAATTTATTTTACCCATCTCATGGCCAAACTTAGATACCATACCTCCCAAACAAAGTCTCATTCTCAGGGTGAGAAATTGGTTTCCTTAGTAAACACGGTTTTTGTTTGTAAACATGCCAAACATGAAACCGGCTCGACATATTTCAACCCCCGCAGCCAGGGGCAACACTATTTAGCAAACTACAAAGCATGAGTCCTGTGAGCCTGATGTGGTGATGCTCAAGCAGTGCTAGGGCTGCGATACGGCGGAAATCGCTTGTGCTGATGTTAGACACTCATGCTTTGCCAAGCGACTTCGCCATCAATCATTTGCTGGGGTCGACATCCTGATTCAGCAGTCAAGACGTCATCGCAGCTTGTTGACGCTGCTTTCGGCTGCGCAGCTGCATCTTCTGGACCATCAGGGGTGTCTGCGCATACCCCATGTGGCAGTCGATGGTGAAAGCGGCAAAAGTATGGGCACAGGCGCCCTCAGGTCACTGATAGACACTCCATCAAGCCCCTCTCAGCGGATCCGCCTCGGCCAGTTGTTGAAGTCCCAGGCGGCTGAAATCAATTGGGCAGGGCCTAGCGCGAGCCCCAGTTGGGCTGGGGGCAAAATCTCCCATTCTGGGGATGGGAAAATGGAGGATGAACCAGAACCTCAGACATGTGGTTTCATCCAACAAAAGCACAACTTGAGATGTTGAGTTCAGTGACTAATTCAGTTATACAGTCCAAAAATTGGGATTTAGACCATCATGACCAACGAAAGATATGGATTAAACGGCCAGAAATGGGGATTGTTTTGGGGGATTGAACCAACCAAAACAGGGGAGGTAGCTACCAGAAACGGAGGTTTGAACTGTCGAAATTGGACATAAACGACCGGAACTGAAGGGTTTATCAATGTTAATCACAAGAAAAGTCAGGTTTCATCAGCAGAAACGGCTTCCTTCTGCCACTCATGATGGTATACTATATATGACCCAGGACTCCCAAGCCCCCCCCCATGGTCCCCCCCCCTGTGGCCTGGGATGGTGGTATGGTTC